GGGGGGGGGGGGGGGGGGGATAGAATATATAGTAAAGAAATTTAACGCACCTATATAACTGATATCAGTTAACACACTAACTTACTAAAATTAAAACAAATACTAAAACTAGTAAACTAAAAAAGATCTGATGAAACAAATATACTGTCAGAATAACATTTTAAAAATTCATCTTTTTTTAAACATCATTTACTTTTCAAAACAGTACAAATACCAAAAGTACAAATACTAAGTAGGTACAAAAAGTAGTTTTAAACTTTAACCTTACATTTCAAAATAAATATAAAGTCTATAAAAAAATATAAAATAAGAAAACAAAAATTAATAAGAAAAAAATAATAATAATTTAAAATTGATGCTGTATGCTGTATGAATTTAAAAAATCTGACTGCAATGATGCCATGGACAGAAGCACAATTTTGTTGAAGAATCAAACTAAAACGAAGCAAGAGAGTTAAAAAAAAAAACAGAAAATAAACAGAAAAAGGAAACTACAGTGGGTAGAGAAAAGAATCACTTTAGTAATGAAAAAGAACAGATTATATACGTTTCATCAAGCGATGCACAGTGACCTGAAGTCGCTGTTCTGAAGACAGACCATGTCACAGTTAGCTGAAGAACTTGCATTGTTACATCACAGTATATCAGTCTAAGCACTAGCAATCTCGCGCCTCTTTAACCTTATTAGATTGGCGCAAGAATAGTGTATATGTGTGGCTAACAGAAGAGCCTCACACGTGTTCAACATTAGCGTAGCACACGAGCATTGCCGGTCGCGGTGAGCCAATGCCATAGCCCAGAGCTACGAAAATGAAGTAGAACGTGGTGCACCGGTGCTAATTGAGATGTTAACTTCACCCCCCAGAGGCCTGTTCCACCTTCGAATGCATGGCGTTAAGCGTTGGAAGGCCATGAATGACATTTGCCTCGCCCCTGAAGCCTGACAGTAAACACCACAAGGTGCAAAGCACAGTCTTTGCTCTTTATCTGGACTATAAGATAATTAACCTTGTCTGCTTACCACAGAAGCATAGAATGAACACTATGGCCGGTGAATATTTGCAGCTTTAAAACTTCAAATGCATACAGTATTGCTGCATTTTATGGTTAACGAAAACGTATAACTTAAAAACGATGCGAAAACATCTTTTAATAAAAATAATAAAAACAATCAAATGAAAACAAAAACTAATATAAATAGGAAAAACTGAAATTACTTAAAGATACATATTTTCATGACTCTGAACCCAACTAAAATAAAACAAAAATGGCCACAAATTAATTTGAGGGTTTTATATATGGTATCTTATAAAACTAAAGACCGTTACAACCCGCCTGCATAAAACAAGAAAATGCCACTGGATAGCAATAACATTAGACTGCGGTGAAATATTTTATGGTATTAAACGCTTTAAATGACACCAGTTAGCACAACAATTTAACACACTACAACGAAAACTAAATAAACAAACTAGACAATTAAAAAACAAATGATAAAATAAAAAATAAAAACTACACTAAATTGAAAGGACAAATTACAAAAAAATTTTTTTTAACTATAATAACTCTGACGCAACTATAATGGAAAGGAGATTGCGTAAAATTAGCAATTGAATGTCATACTACTGAACCTTTTTTTTTTTTTCAAACTTGTGTCCTTTTCCAATATCCACTGCTTAGCATAGCAGCCAAATAGCCCATTACAACCAATGCATTGCTTCATTAGAATTCTATTAACATCTACAGTAGGGAAATCACAGGCTTCATCTTGTGATGTTGCAGTGTCTCCTTTCACCATGCTGTAATTCCCTCCAGTACGAATAACTCACGCTGAAGTTAATGCATTGACTCTTTAGGGAACAAGACCAGCAAATCCTTCGATGGCTACATCAATGTTTGTGCTAATGACATAGCAAATGGAAAAACGCACACCTGTCTGTAACCAGTATTTCTTCCATATTGATCAGTGTCATTAATTCTAATTTGCTGGAGCGTAGGGGCAAGCATTCTATGGAGACTCTTTGATAAATCCACAAAGAGAACTCCCTGCTCTAATGGCTGGAAAATGCTGGGCCAATGGCTTTCAAAGGTGTGGAATGGCGCCAGGCGCTCTCGCATACAGAGTTCCGCTGCAGGACCAGCAGGGGATGTGAACCTAAGAAGCCAAGTCACGGAAGCAAATGAAGACGAGGAATGGAAAGTACACTGAAGGCACGCAGATGTTCCTGACTCACGACTCGGGAGATCCCTGATCACACGCTCGGCTGAACTACGTCAGAACAGTGCTGAGGTCACAACCTGCTGGACTTGACAGGGTTGTGCACCATTAAGAACTGAATTGAAAATGCCTTTTAAATTCCAATTCAGTTACGGACTATGAATTTTAATTTAGGTACCAATCAGAATGCAGAATTGCAACTTTGAAAGCAGGGGAGTAGAATTAACATTACCTGAAATTCAAAGGAAACTACAGTCGGAATTGAACAGAATTGGACAAGAAATGTTTAAATGTTGAAACCATTTTGGAAAAAGCTTCAAAAGACTTGAAATTAAAGGGGCCTTACAAATAGATAACAGACAAATAAAATGATAGGCAGGCAGACAGACAGAACGATAAATAGAATGACTGAAGGATAGATACACAGAGACAGACAGACAGACAATTATATAGACTGAACGACAGATAGACCAACAGACAGACTGATAGACACAATGATAAACAGAACAACAGACAGACAGACTGATAGATCAATAGATAGAATTGCTTTGAACTGCAACTTATAGGGTATGGGCAATTTAATTCAAATTGTAAGTCATGAACTTGAAGGGAGCCAATTAGTCAACTCTGAATTCTGCACAACTATGGTACTTAAAGGGATAGCTCACCCAAAAATGAAAATTAGCCCATTATTTAATCACCCTCAAGCCATTCTAGGTGTATTTGACGTCCTTTTTTCAGATGAATCCAATCGGAGTTATATTAAAAATTGACTTTGATATTCCAAGCTGTTTAATGGCAGTCAGCGGGTGTTGCAGTGCATCAGTCCAAAAGAAGTGAAATAAAGCGCATCCATCCATAATAAAAAGTGCCTCACATGGCTCCGGGGGGTGAACAAAGGCCTCCTGTCGAAATCGATGCGTTTTTGTAAGAAAAATATCCATATTCAAAACGTAATAATCACTTTAATCTAGCTTGCCCCAACAGTTGTACATGGAAGCAGCTCCGGGAGTATGGCGTAAGATGTCGTCGTTGAGCATGCGCCGATGAGTCTCGTGAAAACCAACGTTTGTTTACAGGATCAAAGGAAGCAAAGTTTCCTTACTTTAGCAAAGGAAAAACAGTCTCCT